CAAGAAATGAGTGAATAATTTGGAAAAACAAACTCATGGCGTCTATTGCACAGAGGCTTTTGCTTGCAAAACTCCGGAATGAACTAGCGGCACAACGAATTTGCATCTGATTGGCTAGGAAGTGCAGATTCTTGTGTTTTTTAGTCCTAATGACAAACATTGTTCTGAGCTGAGATATGTCTCTTTGGATTTGACAAACGAAAATCGAACAAACTTTTTTCCAACTCAATATTTGTCGAAAGAGCACTCATTGATTTGATATGATTGTTGTCTGTTACAATGAGTTCTTCTTTCCTATGTGGTAATTTAAATAACAGACAACACTGCATTTAGACATTTTCCTTGCTTCCCTTTTCCAATCTGATCAAACTGATAAAGTCCTGTGTTTTCCTAATTTAAGACTAAAAGACCCGAAATAGTATGTTAAAAGTAAATTTCCTCTACAGAAAACTGATAGGGTGCATATCATTTCAATGGAAAGAGCTTTCCTTTGTACGAGAGGACGTGACGACGTCAAAAGAGTAAAAGAAGAACATCTCAGAATTCCCGCATTGCAACATAGCATCGCATACATAAACATTACGACATCACGATCGTAGCATTTGAATAGCTGCCTGCGCTTTTGAAGAAAATTTTCTGCATACCGTGAGGTCGTTCGCATCAGTTCAAAGAGCATGTGGGGTAAAAGATGGCACGCTCCCTAAACGTTAAAATTATTTTCTTCGCATCAAGGTTCTATTCCAAATATGTCTTACAATGGAACTTATGGGAATATAGGCAGTATACGATAATAGCCTAAATTAACCTAAAACAGTGAAGTGTTTCGAGTACTGGGTTGCAATTTATGTGTTTTTCAAAATTCCAAATTAAACAAGTCTTCCTTGGAGCTTATGAATCGGCCAATGTAGGGTAATAAAGGTCTGCTCAAATGCAGTTCGTGGGGACAAACTGATCTACCTTGTAAAAGCTGTGAATAATGTGCTTTTGGTCATTTTAGAGTCTCTGAGATAAAGTTCCTCCCTTCTAGTCAGTTGCTAACTATTCAAATTAGATAGGCATCAAAGAGAGCAAGATTTTCAAAGTTGAGCAGTTGAGCTAAATTTTATTACAAGATAGTTCTCTTAGAATCGACCCATAA